CTGCCTCCCTCCCGTCCGTTCTCTTAATTGTCCTTCTCTTTTTTCCTTTCAACGTTCCATCGAGCCTCCGCCGCTCCCGTGCGTTCTCGATCGTTCCTGCGGCTCGTTCCTTCTTGACGAATCCTCTTCCTCCTCCGCCGCCGCTCCGCCGCCGCCCCTTCTTCCGCGCGGGTACAGTCGTTAACATTTCGCGGCGTGGTTGATCGTCAGCCCCGACTTATCGTGCGACGTGCCAGTCAGTCAGTTCCTCCGGCCGCGCGGCATGCGTCCGTTCGACCGTTCGCCATAAGCTGCCGCTGCACGTGAACACGCGCCCGCGCGCGCGAGCGCACCTTCCGCGAATCGAGCGTACCGGTGACCCTTGAAAATCACGCTTCCGGTGCACCGCGCCGCGCGGACGTCTTGGGAGGGGGGCACGCCTCTACCGGAGGGTTCCCGAGCGTCTACGAGCGCTCGAGATTGGTCACGTTCCGCGGCGCGCTCCGAAAGGAAATGCGTTTCTTTCGGTAAAAAATTAATTGGCTTTGGAACTCCGGGTGGAACTCCGTCGAAAACGGAACCGTGAAGACGCGATTGCCCCTCGGAACAAACATGGACCTCCACCGAGCACGTTCCTCGTCATTAGCTCGTAACAATCCCATGATCGATCGAGAATGAAATTCCTCGGAGTTAGGACGACGGGACGAACGATCGGGTCCATTCTTCTTCTCTCTACGGTCGCTGCGTCGCGTTACGTAACGTGTCCTCGTTTCGAAACGACCGGGAAGCGTCTTGAGTTTCAAAACACCGTGTGTAACCAGGAAATTGGGTCCTCGGGGGCCCAGGGCTGAACGTAAGCCGATACAGTTACGGGTTCGGGTCGGTTCGTGAGGGGGTCGGAAATGCCGGCGTGCCGCCGCGCCGGCATGTCGGACAGGTGCTCCCGGGTCGGTTCCCCTGTTCCGCAGGGGCAAAAAACCAGTCGGTTTCTTGCGATCGCGACCGGACTGCGGATTTTTCATCGATTCGTCGCAGGGAGCTCGAGCGTTTTCTTCGGGGCTCGCGTCTATCCCTCGAGAGGAAGATAAACGAGAGAGAGAATAAGCTGGTCGAGCGTATATCATAGAAGCGTCGGTCGCGCACGAGCGATTCCAAAAATCTTATTACGCAGCGCGTCTCTGTTTGCCCTGTCGCGAAGGGCGTCCGCTCGAGCGGGACCGTCGGAGGATGATGTAATTGGACCGAGCGCAACTGAGGAAACCGTCGAAAAACGGCGGGCGTGCCGTTTCTGTCGTAACGATAATCGAATTCCAGCGCGCGCTTTTTGCCTGTCGGCATGAACTGACATCATTATTCCCCGCGGAACGATGCGGTGGCGGACGCCGGTGTGATCGATCGATCTTCCCTTCTGTTGCAGTCAAGATGAAACGTCTCTGGCCGTTGCTGGTGTGGATACTTCTATCCTTGTGTCCGGTAAGTGTTGCGCGAGCGAGCGATCGTGGAGATTATAGAATCGTTACGCGGAGCGAACCGATCGATTTAACGTATCTGTACCACCCGCCAAGGCCGAATCGCTGAGAGGACTCGGCCGCGGACCTAGGAGAGAAGTGTTCTTCCTGAACCTCGAGGACGGCTACTTCGGCTGCCAGGTGAACAAATCGACGGACGTTCTACAGCTGCTCGAGTTGTCGAAACTGTGCGACCACCACGTCGACTGCTACCAGGGTACCGACGAACAACGCGACAGGCTCAAGTGTACAGGTGAGAGCAGTCCCGCTGAGCCGGAAAGCAAAAGCGTATCGCGTCGCGTCGCGCGGGGGGAAAATAGTTATCTCGGTATCGTAATCCCTCGGTCGCGTTACCGTTACAATCTCCGGGCTCGTTCCTTTTTGCGTCATTCCGGCGTCGTCGTTACGCCCGCCGAACAATCCGCCTGGAACCGCGGACGCGGTCGCGCCGCTGTGCGCGTCTGTGTTTGTGTTATTGTCTTTCCTACCACCGCGCGATCGATCGGCGACATTGATTTTCATTCGTTGCGCCGCGCATCGTCCGTCGCGATCGGCCTTCGTCCTTTACGCAACCGCTGGGAAACGAATTACTCATCGCAATCAGCGAGTCCTCGTCTTCCGGCGCGATGACTAAGGACGATTATCTCCGATCGTTTACCCACGGAACGGATCATCTCGCAATTGATTTTCCTTGTTTGTTTCCGCTCGGTCAGATGATTGCACGAAGGAGGACGGGACCAAGTGCTTGAACGGCGTCTGCCTGGACTCCGTCTGCCACTGCAACGACGGTTTCGGCGGTTGCAACTGCCAAGTGCCAGGTCAGTATCCGTCCGGTAGCCGTGTGTCCGCGGATTAATGAGCGGCGAGTCAACTGAGCCGTGAAGGAGGATGTGCGTAATGGCCATCGGGAAACCAGAAAACCAATCAACGAACAGATAAGAGTGTCCTCCTCTTTCCTTACCGCTGTGGACGATACCCGCCGCCGCCGCGCATTCAGCAGCCGAATCGAGGGTCTCGAGTTACCACTCGAGCGTATCCGGCGGCCGGTTCGCCTGTGTCGTTTCGTCCACCTTCATTACGGTTACTTCTTTATAGACGCGTCTTCCTCGATGAATACTAAACGCGGGTGTACCGTTAACTTTTACGTCCGCGGCGTTACCGGCCGGCGACAATAATATTTAACGCGAATGCGAATCTCTGTTGCAGACGAGAACGAGTGCAAGTATCGGCCCTGTGATATATTCGCGCACTGCACGAATACCCTTGGTAGCTTTCAATGTTCCTGTTTCCCCGGCTACCAGGGCGACGGTTTCCATTGCGAAGGTACGCCGCGCTCGAGATTCTTCTCGAGCGCAGTGGGCATTGGATAATTGCGGCATCGGGAACCTCTTCATAATTGCAACGTCGTTATTCCTATCGCATTCCCGCCGGGTTCCTTTTAACATAGCGCTCGACAACCTTGGAAAGTGTCACTTTCTTTTTTACACACTTCAATCGCTTATTACTCAAGCAATTAGGATTGCAATTCTACCGTGTCATTTTAATCAAGGGAACGTAGCAAACGAGACGACTGCATCATTTCTCAAACGTCGAAAATAAAGAAGCTTGATTTCTGAGTTAATCTTTTAGCCACGGATTAGCGAAGCTGTATAGCTTCAAGGTCTGGCGCGATCTACATATAATAAATGTAATATCATTGCGACTTGAGACTGAATTTTCCAATGTGCAATTACGTTTAATTAGATTATAATGCGCACAACTGTCAGAGAGAAAGAATTGTGCCACTATAGTGACGTACGAAGTTGAAGGTCTCAAGGTCATCGCGAGCTTTACTGTCGCTAGACGCTTCAACTTTCAATCTTTCTTTTTCCCTCACTCGCATTGTCCTTTCCTACATTCGCCATGCTGAAATCTTCGTTTCTTAGATTCGATCCTATCTTTTCATAATTGCAATCTCCTGGTTCCATTGAATGTTGCAATTGTTTAATACTCACTGTGTTCGATGAAGCCTGTTCCGCCGCTCCGTTCCCCGTGTCACGCTGACGCGGTCGTTTCCCCCAGATATCGACGAGTGCGCTAATCCGGCCCTCGCCGCGAGATGCGTGGAGAACGCCGAGTGCTGTAACCTCCCGTCGAACTTCCTGTGTAAATGCAAGCCCGGTTATATCGGCGACGGCGAGGTCCACTGCGAGGACGTGAACGAGTGCACGATATCTGGCGCGTGCGGCGACAACACCGTCTGCCACAACATCCCTGGGAACTACACCTGCGCGTGTCAGGATGGCTTCACGGGAGACCCCTACGAAAGCGTAAGTGTCATGCATCAAAGATGTATTAGATCTACATTCTGAAAGCAAAGGTTTCGTTAACGCTAAAATTATCAGTGAAGTTGACTTTCCTGAATTGTTCTATGGAAACTCTAAGGGTATACCTACGTGGTAGTCAGTATTTAGATTTCTGAAATAAATATAGGAAATAGAGTTAACGAAAGACGTTCAGTTTGCAAGATCATACAGTGATTTCATCGGCTTACTCTGTATCAAATCACAATGGTATTGTCCAGTGTATCGACATAAACGAATGCGACTACGCGGGCGCCTGTGGAAAGGGCGCGCACTGCGTGAATCTACCCGGCGGCCACAAGTGCGAGTGTCCGGAGGGCTATAACGGCAATCCCGAGGAAGAATGCGTGGACGTCGACGAGTGTTTGCGCAGCCCTTGCGGTCGTTCGGCTCAGTGCACAAATGTGCACGGCGGTTTCCGTTGCTCCTGCCCGGAAGGAATGAGCGGCGATCCTTGGTTAGGCTGTCACGGTGAGTAACGCGATTACTAATTATCCGTAACGATACCACCTCGGCCGACGTGTGACGGTGCGGATCAGCACGAATTTCCATTGCACATTCCCCTGGCCAGTAAATCATTACGCATTCATGGGACGGCGAGCGTGTAGTTATACGTAACGAACGAATCCCACCTGTACATAGAGAGAACTGTTACGAGATCCGAGTGTGATTATTCCATGGATAACAGTGTCCACGCTTCGTTAATAATAATCGTTCACGTTCACAATCACCGCGCGGTAAGCGTGTACAGCGGTAACCATTCGTCCCGCGTTAGGGTTTCACACGTAACGGCGGTAACGTAGCAGAGATTAATCACAATAATCCTAGTAAAACGTACCGCTAACCATCGGCTAACAGATATAAACGAGTGCGAGGAGAGCTCGCCGTGCGGGGCGGACGCAGATTGCGTGAACACGGAGGGTAGTTACGAGTGCAGATGCCGGGCCGGCTATCAGATGGACCCGACCCACGGTTGCATCGACGTGAACGAGTGCGGTCGAGCGGATGCATGCGCGGCGAACGCCAGATGCATCAACGTCCCGGGATCGTACAAGTGTATCTGCCCTCAGGGTTTCATCGGTCAAGGACTAACGCTATGCAAAAGTCAGTTTCCCCTAACTTGTTGTTGTTGTTGTTTTTTTTTTCTTTCATTCTAAGGCATTCTTTCATGCCGCTGGACACCGCCCCGGCGATCATTAATAATACTCATCATGCGATTAACCGTGTTGATTAACAGACGTGAACGAATGCGAGAGAAATCCTTGCGGCGAGAACGCCGAGTGCACCGACACGATCGGCAGCTTCGTCTGCAGTTGCAAGCAGGACTACACTGGCGATCCGTTTAAGGGATGCAGCGGTTAGCTACCGAGATTTACTCACACGTATTTTTAAGTAACCTGGTGCTAGAGAAATCATCCTCGTGAGATCATAACGATTCATTAACCAATAACAGTAACTTCTTTTTTTTTATATATATAAATGAAACCTGGTATATTTGGTCTTCGGTCGATGTAACGTCGATAGTTGATACTTTTAAGTAACGTCCACTTCCGTGCTACATGTTAGATATCGACGAATGCACCGCGTTGGAGAGTCCATGCGGAAGGTACGCGATTTGCAAGAACGCGGATCCTGGATACACCTGTGTCTGTCCACCGGGGTACAGTGCCAACCCCAGTCCGACAGTCGCCTGTGAACAGGTGATTTTATTACACTCCATTACGTCTTCGAACGACTCGCTGATGTTTGTAATCGTGTTAATCTCTGCTTTCTACCTTGGAATGCGAACTCGGCAGGTTGACGTGACTACCCTCTGCAAGTCGAACTTCGACTGCGTGAACAACGCTGAGTGCATCGAGGGTCAGTGCTTCTGTAAGAACGGATTCAAGGCCGTCGGGGCTGAATGCGCGGACCTCGACGAGTGTCTCTCGAATCCCTGCGGGCCGTCGTCGATCTGTACGAACACGAGAGGAAGTCACCATTGCGAGTGCGAATCTGGTTTTGTTGGAACGCCGCCGCACATACCCTGCAAAGGTAAATTAACGCGGAGTAATTGCCGTTGACGATGGCTGGCAATTACACGGGGCTACCAACAGTGATCGCGTTTTATTACAGCACCTTGCGACGAAGTGACTTGCGGAGATCACGCATACTGCAAGGCTGACGGCCATGAGGCTTATTGCATCTGCGAGGATGGCTGGACTTTTAATCCGAACGATATCGCGGCTGGATGTGTTGGTAAGTGTCCCGCATCCTTGATAGAGAATTAACTTTTTCACCCCCTCCCCCTCCCCCACCCAGCCGAACTGTTTTACGGGTATAATTCCGAGCCGCTTCTACAACTAGATATAAACGAGTGTGACGCGGTAAATGGTCCTACGGGCCGATGCGGCAAAAACGCAGTCTGCACGAACACTTTGGGAGGATTCAGCTGCCAGTGCAGGCCCGGGTATTCTGGGAACGCCTTCAAACAGTGCTTAGGTAACCCGCATTGCTATTTCTTATTCCGGGGATGAAGAGTCCGTCCGTGTAACGCTTTCTTCCCCTGGAACGCAGACGTAGACGAATGTACGAGACACGACGCTTGCGGCCATGGTGCCACATGCACGAACGCGGAAGGTTCTTACACGTGCGCCTGTCCTGAAGGGACCATACCGGATCCTGATCCTTTCAACAAGTGCGTAGGCATAGTGACTTGCGACGTTGACGGCGACTGTCCAGGGAACGCCATTTGCGATCCTCAGAAAAGGTGCTTGTGTCCTGAACCTAACGTTGGAAACGACTGTAGACGTGAGTACTCCTGGTTCCCTTGTAAACCCCATTGATTAACCTCTTGCTGTGTGATTTATTTTTCAACTGTGATCGACACAACTTTGTCAGCAATTTATTGAAAAGAGAGGAAAGTTTTATGCATTCTATGGTTACGTTTGCCCTAGGATATAATTGATAACAGAAGGATAATATTTAATTTGAAGTCAAAGGAATTGAGTGATATTTACCATTCTTTTAATTAGATCCATGCGAGGACCTGTCTTGCGGACCTAACGCTCATTGCATGCTCTCCAACGACATTGCGACGTGCCTGTGCCGCAGCGGCTACACAGGGAAGCCGGGAGTAAAGGGTGGCTGCAGGGACATTGACGAATGCGCGATCAATCCGTGCCCTCAGGGTGCAATCTGCAACAACGAGCCCGGTTCATTCTCCTGTCAGTGTCCGAGTGGTACCACAGGCGATCCTTACAGCGGCGGTTGCCAGGAATCGAAAGCTCCCCACGTTTGTGGGCCCAGCACTCCCTGCCCAGCTGGGGAACAGTGCATCAAGGATGAGTTCATCGGCAGCAGCGTGTGCATCTGTCAGAGGGGCTACACTCGGGACCACGAAACCGGCAAGTGCAGAGACATCAACGAGTGCATGGAGCTCAGGGACAAGCCTGCTTGCGGCGTCAACGCCATTTGTAAGAACCTGCCTGGTAGCTACGAGTGTCAGTGTCCGCCCGGCTTTAATGGGAATCCCTTCTCGCTCTGCGAAGGTAAGAAATTGTATTTTGAGTTAAGCACGTTCGATTAACCTGTGATACTACTAACCTGCGATGCTGTGTAGAATGCAACAGCATCGAGTGCCAGTGCCAACCACCGTACAAGATTGTCAATGGCAAGTGTATGCTGGCCGGGTGTTCCAAGGGCGAGAAGTGTCCAAGCGGCGCAGAATGCATAACGATTGCTGGAGGAGTTAGTTACTGCGCTTGTCCTAAGGGCTACACCACTAAAGTCGACGGTTCCTGCGAAGGTTCGTATATAATTGTTCATTCGCCTGATTTATAGTCACCTGTGCTAATAAATCCACGTTTACTTACAGATATAAACGAGTGCATCGTTGGCCATCAGGTCTGTGGCTACGGAGCAGAGTGCATTAACCTACCGGGATCTTATCAGTGCGTTTGTCCACACGGCTACGGCGGAGATCCTTACAATGGCCTTTGTTCCCCTGCTCAGAAAAGATGCACCAGCGATAATGAGTGCAAGGCGAACGAAAAATGCGTGCAGCCTGGCGAATGCGTTTGTCCACCGCCATTTTACACGGATGCTCTCGATGGAAACCTTTGCAAGAGTAAGCGTTCTTCCACGGAATACCTGTCTATGATTCTAGAAGTTGTTCTTTACAGATGAACGCCGCAGATTTTAGTTGTATCGTTCATTGTTTGCACTCTCATGTCATTTCAGATCCCTGTGATCGATTTCCGTGTGGTATCAATGCAAAGTGCACGCCGAGCGACCCTCCCAAGTGCATGTGCGAGGCTGGCTACGAGGGAGACCCGCAACACGGCTGCGTGGACGTCAACGAGTGCGCGAACAATCCTTGCGGGCATGGTGCTTACTGCATTAACACGAAGGGAGATCACATTTGCGAGTGTCCGAAGGGGACAGTGGGCGATCCCTACGGTGCTGGGTGTACAGGAGTGGCTGTACCGAAAACCGAGTGCTCTTCTAACGACGACTGTGATAATATTTTCGCTTGTGTGAATGGTAGATGCGTGAATCCTTGTGATAACATACCCTGCGGACCGAACGCGTACTGCGAGCCTGATAAACACGCTGCTTGGTGTCGATGCGTGATAGGATTCGTCGAGGGCAAGAACAACGAATGCGTTTCTCGTGAGTATCCAAAGAGCACGCTGAAATGTTTGATTAATTATCTTGCTGTGTTAAAGAATGGTTAATGGAATGATTGAAAATTACTTTGTAGAATGCGATGGCTTCGTGTGTGGCTCTGGAGCGCAGTGCATCGTGAGCTACAGCGGGCCAACTTGCAAATGCATCGAAGGTTTCATGGGTAATCCGTTCCCCGGTGGCCAATGTCTACCGGATGTCTGTTCTCCGGAAGTGCCATGTGCGGAACCGAGTGTGTGCATAAGCGGCAGGTGCAAACGACGCTGCGAAGGAGTAGTGTGCGGCGTGGGAGCTTCGTGTGACCCTGCAACCAACAAATGCGTTTGTAATCCCTACTTCATTGGGAACCCAGACCTACTTTGCATGCCCCGTAAGTTATGCGGTGTTAATCACTTAAACGCAACGTTTGCTTGTACTACCGACTGCTGGAATTATATTTCAACAATGAGCTTTGTTGTACTCCAGCGATTCAACCTGCCACCTGCGATCCTGGCTGCGGTTCGAACGCTCATTGTGAGTACAGTTTGCAAGATTCCAAGTGTGTCTGCAATCCTGGCACCACTGGGAATCCCTATCATGGCTGCGGAGTACAAGAGAAGTCTGACTGCACCACTGCATTGTGCGGCAAGGACGCGCATTGCAACGCTGGGCCGAACGCTGTGGAGTGCCTTTGTCCTCCAGGATATGCGGGGAATCCTTACATTCAGTGTCACGGTTCGTATGCTGCTACTTATTATAAAATCTATAAAGTAAAATATAGTATAAAATTTAGAGGACAGTATTGAAGGTTTTCTTAATAAATTTGCATCTCAGACATTAACGAATGCAACGGTAATGCCTGTGGAAGCAATGCGGTGTGCATTAACACCATTGGCAGCTACGATTGCCGCTGCAAAGAAGCCTTCTTTGGCAATCCCTTCATCGGCTGCCAACAAGTACAAATCGGTCCATGCACCGATCCTGCAACGTGTACCTGCAGCGAGACAGTGCCGTGTCCCTTCGACTATAGTTGCGTGCATGGCAAGTGCATAAACCGGTGCAGTGATGTTAGGTGTGGTCCGCGTTCAGTCTGCCAGGATGGTGCTTGCGTTTGTCCTCCAGGCTACAGCGGGAATCCTAATGATCTCAGCAAAGGATGCCATCTTCATGGTCACTGTTCTAACGATTTGGATTGTGAACCCCAACAAATCTGTTTCCAAGTTGGCAAAGGGGTCCGGAAATGCGTGGACGCTTGTAGTAAGCTCCAGTGTGGTCCAAATGCATTGTGCGTAACCCAGCATCATGTGTCCTCTTGCTTGTGCATCGATGGATACCAAGGAAATCCCAGCAACCTGATAGAAGGCTGCCAACCTTCCAAATCTGTTATAACACCTGGCTGTATCCGTGATTCAGATTGTCAAGAAGGATTCTTCTGTATTGTTCTTGACAATGGTGCCCGTGATTGTGTGAATCCATGTAGTAAAATAGTCTGCGGTGCCCATCAGAAGTGTGAACCCGACATAATCCCTGGTCATGCCACTTGCAAGTGTCAAGATGGTTATGAATGGAATTCGATATTATCATCTTGCGAGAAACCATCAGTACCTGATTGTATTTCCGACGATGACTGCCATGCAACTGAAGCTTGTAGACCAGATACCCTAGGTGTACTGAAATGTGCTCCTGTATGCCGCAGTTTCACCTGTGCCATCAATTCTCAATGTATAACTGAACGACATCGTGGACGTTGCGAGTGTCTACCTGGTTTTATTGGTAATCCAAATGACAGACAGGGATGTCAGACTCCTAAGAAGGATCAGTGTTCAACCGACAGCGAATGTCCGGAAGATCAGACCTGCAGAGGCACAGACGAAGGTTTATTGACCTGTCAACCCGTTTGCAACTTTATTTCTTGTGGACCTAATGCTCTATGTATAGTTCATAATCATGTTGCAAATTGCGAATGCCCGCCAGGACTCTTTGCTGGCGATCCTACGGACATGATCAAAGGATGTCGTACCGTTCCTTGCGTTTACAATATTGACTGTCCACCTACTCAGCTTTGTAACAGATTAACTCATACCTGTTACGATGTTTGCGACGAAAATGCTTGTGGTGTTAATGCTGTTTGCATAGCGGATGATCATAGAGCGATTTGCCAATGTCCTCCCGGGCTTCGACCAAATCCTGTACCGGATGTAGAGTGCGTTGCGATCGAGGCATGCCATCCGAATCCATGCCATCAAACCGCCGTTTGCGTACCGGGACCATCCAACAATCCTGTTTGCCAATGTCCGCCAAATTTTGTCGGAGATCCCTACGTCAAAGGATGCCAGCCGGAAGGATATTGTGCCAGTGGTAAAGACTGTCCAGTTCACTCTATTTGCCACAATCATCGTTGCATTAATCCTTGCGAAGATGCTTGTGGATCAAATTCGATTTGCGAAATCATCAATGGCCAGCCCACGTGCAAGTGCATTCACAATTTCGTTCCATCCACCAAAGGTCCGCAGGATGGATGCGTCAGATCTGCGAATTATTGTACTGTTGATGCTGATTGCGAGGAAAGCGTGTGCCTTGAGGGACAGTGTATAGGTAAGACACATTTCTATAACTAATTCTACTTGTCTAAATTTTCGTGTATCAGATTGGTTTAAGATTTTTAAATTATTTTTTTTAACATAATAAATTCTATTATAGCTGTCTGTCGAACAACCACAGATTGTTCTGTTGGAGAAAAATGTGTCAACAGCAAGTGTGTACTTCCTTGTGTATCTCATAGTCAGTGTCAGTTGGATCAAGCATGTGTGAATGGAGGATGCATTTTGGGATGTCGTAGCAATAAGAATTGTCCTAACACACAATCGTGCATCAATAATAAATGTCAAGGTATCTTTTTTTAAAGTAAACAAGACATTTTCATTGCCAAGTTACATAGTTGTCTACATAATGATTTCTTTTTCTAGATCCATGCGGTATATTAGATGTGTGTGGGCCAAATGCAATTTGTAGTTGCACCAATCATGCTACAACTTGTACTTGTCCACTTGGCTTCCATGGAAACCCTACACCTCAACAAGGATGTGTTAGGGTACCTAATATTTGTGAAGGTGCTCAAGATTGTCCAAGTCAACATGTCTGTGAGTCTGGGTTCTGTCAATGTCAATGCACTGAACAGAATAACTGTGCTCAAGGAGAACGCTGTAAGAATGGTATCTGTGTGAAGATATGCTATAGTGATAGCAACTGTTTGCCTGGAGAATTATGTATTGATGGAGTCTGTGAGGTGGGTTGTACATCTGATGCTGGCTGCAAAGACAATGAAGTCTGCATTAAGAACAAATGCAGGTAACTGTATAAATATATTAAAGCTTATCTTATGTATGAATTATTAATGTTTTGAACCGGTCTCTTCAATTTCATTTATTGATGCTTTCAGATGCAGTCATGGATTCATTGCTGGACCAGAACACTGTCTAGACATCAATGAATGTAACGATGAACCCTGCCACTCTAGTGCAGAGTGTATAAATCTTCATGGATCCTATCGTTGTATATGCCCACAAGGCACAGCAGGTGATCCTGTGGGATCAGGTTGTGTGATACCTCATCAATGCAACATAAATGCAGACTGCCCTGATACTCAAGCCTGCATTCATCACAACTGTACTGATCCTTGTTCCTTGGGCGATTGTGGGTCCAATACTGTCTGTACTGTTGTGGATCATACAGCTGCCTGTCAGTGTCAACCTGGCTACATTGGTGATGCCTCTGGATGCTTCAGAGTGGAATGTCTTTCCAACAACGATTGTCCCACGGATAAATATTGTAATCAAGATACCAACAAGTGTAGTAGTAAGTAGTAACATCTTTCAGTTCATTTTATATTATTGTCATAGATATATGACTTAATCCCCTTTTTTATATTATGTAGGTCCTTGCAATCAAATGAACTGTGGATATGGCAACTGCATAGCTTCTGACCATGTAGGAATTTGCAAATGTTATCCTGGATTTATTCTAGCAGGTGACATCTGTGTTGATGTCAATGAATGTTTAGAAAATCCTTGTCATTCCACAGCAGTGTAAGTATCAGATTTGTGTAATAACTATCTGGTAAAGATACCTTTTTTTAATGAAACAATATCTTTTTTAGTTGTCAAAATACAGAGGGTTCATACGCTTGCGTTTGCCCACACGGATTGGTAGGGGATCCTTTCAAGTCTGGCTGTAAACAACCCGGAGATTGCTTCACAGATTTCGATTGTCCAATTTCTGCAGCTTGTATTGACAACAGATGCACTAATCCTTGCGACAGTTCACGTATCTGTGGTAGGAATGCAGAATGCTTTGTGCAAGATCACGTACCTCTCTGCAGATGTCCCGGTCAAACTACAGGGAACCCATCTGTATGTGTCTAATCATTTGCTCGTAATTTAAATTAGCTTGAAACTCTTCTAACAGTAATTTTTATAATTTTAGTCTGAATGCACACATCTTGAGTGCAACTACCATAGCGACTGCAACCCATCTGATGCATGTTTCAATCATAAGTGTGTTGATCCTTGTTCTTTATCGAACGTCTGTGGTCAAGGAGCCGATTGTTCTCCTTTGAATCATAGCGCAGTGTGCACATGTCAACCTGGAGGTACTGGTGATCCAAATTTGGGTTGCACACCTGTTCAGTACTGCAAGTCCGACTCCCAGTGTGCTACAGGATCAGCATGCAATGGAGGAATATGCACAGGTTAGTAAAATACTATAAAGAATTTTAAAACATGTTTCCAGTGAATATATGGCAAACCTGTTTCATATGTTTATAGCTCTTTGTGGTAGCACGAGAGATTGCATTGGTGATCAACTCTGTATCAATGGCCTCTGTCAGCCTACTTGCAAGAGTAACTCTAGCTGCCCAGAATTCCAGTACTGCCACAATAATATATGTGTTCAAGAATTACGTTGCATATCCGACGATGATTGCTCTTACGACGAAAAATGTATCAAGAACAACATTGGGCAGGCGGAGTGTCACAAGACTTGTGATTTGGTACTATGCGGACGCAACGCCGAATGTAAAGCAGATGACCACAGAGCCGTGTGTTCTTGCAAAGGTGGATTCTTTGGGAATCCCAAAGACGATAAGATTGGTTGTCAGCCTATTGAATGTGAGGTCAATGAAGATTGCAGCGAGGAGAAAATTTGTGATACGCATAAATGCAGAATTGCCTGCTTGGCCAACAATCCTTGCGGTGTTAATGCTATCTGTACCGCAGAGAAACATCTCCAGGTAATAATTCATCGACTATCTATGAAACATGTACAATGTTTGTCTTTTACGTTGGGCATACTTTCAACAAGTTATCTTTCTTTCAGGTTTGCACGTGTCAGCCCGGATATACCGGAGAACCAACCCATGGTTGTCAGCTGATCGATTATTGCCAGAACGACCCTTGCGCTCCAGGAACCGTTTGTGAGAATTCCAGAGGATCTTACAAGTGTCATTGTCGACAAGGAATGGTCGGTGACGCGTACAACAGTGGATGTCAACCACCGGTTGAATGCCTTCAAAACAATGACTGCCCACTTACTGCCAAGTGTATAAACATTAACAACGTGCCAAAGTGTTTCGGTATGTGTCGAATACCTGAACGCACTCATCAGGCATTAAAGGAATTTAGAATGAACATTCCCTGCATTCAACGATCTCGATATTTTGTTCTTCCAGATGTGTGCTCACGGACTCAGTGCGGACCAAACGCAGATTGCTTTGCCAACAATCACGTGGCCGCGTGTCAGTGTCGGCCGGACTACGAAGGTGATCCGAACAATTTAAGTGTAGGGTGTCGGCCGAAGCCGGTTATCTGTTCATCAGCCGCCGACTGCTCGCCGAACACCTATTGCTACGAAGGAATCTGCAGACGTGAGTCCCATCAAACAATCCGCGACGATAGTCCCAGAGTGTATTCAACCGTAAAATTACATAATTCAAAATTCCCGCAGCGTCCTGCCAATCGGACGAAGAATGCAACCTATCAGACATGTGTTTGAACGGGCAATGTCTCGATCCTTGCAACATCAGAGCCGCGTGCGGAATAAACGCCGAGTGCAACGTGAGGAGCCACATTAAACAGTGCAGCTGTCCTCCCGGCTTCACTGGCAACTCGGAACTGGAGTGTGTGAGACGTAAGCGAAGAATCTACATTCAGAATTTTCGGAGCGTGCGATTATGGAGTGTCATACATTATTCATATTCATTCATACGATTCTTCTTTCAGTGCCGGTGTCCTGCAGAGACAGCAACGATTGCAACGAAGGCAATACCTGCCGCGACAACGTGTGCCTGCCTATATGCGTCACCGACAACGAATGCGCGTTCAACGAGAAATGCGTGCGCGACAATTGCCTGCTCACGTGCAGGCTGGACAACGACTGCTTCTTGGGCCACATATGCCTGCACAACATGTGCACCTTCGGCTGTCGCGCGGATGAGGACTGCAACGCGAACCAGGCCTGTATCACGAACAAATGCATCGACCCCTGCGAGGCGACTCCATGCGGACCGAACGCCAAGTGCACCGTGTTCAATCAGCGAGCCACTTGCTCGTGCCCCGCTGGATTCATACCGAACCCAACAGCCAAGGTCGCGTGCTTGCGCTCGCCTGGATCCGCTTGTCAAGCGAACAGGGATTGCGCAACGGGAACAGCTTGTATAGGAGGCACCTGCACACCGGTGTGCTCCACGGACTTGAACTGTTTGAGTAACGAGCGCTGCGACCAGGCTGGTATCTGCAAATCATTGTGCAGGAGGGACGAAGATTGTAGGAGCGGCGAGATCTGCGAAGGTCTGGTCTGCGCTATCGGATGCCGCGCCGACGTGGAGTGCCAGGAAAATTATGCGTGCATAAATAACCAATGCCAAGGTACGAGGGTTCGCGCGAGAGACGATTACGTTCGTTCTTTTTTATTCGTCATTTAATTCCCCCTGGTTTTACCGCAATCTTCGCCTTCGTTTTCCCAGATCCGTGCTCTCTTCCTGATGCCTGCGGAGTGAATGCCAAATGCTCGATTGTGAATCATCAGAAGTTATGCGCCTGTCCCGCGCCGCTTGGCGGAGATCCTCTAATTGGATGCAAACAGGCGTTCTTGCCGTGCTCAACGGAGCTAGACTGTCCGACCGGTCAGACTTGTTACGGCCGATCCTGTTACGCCACGTGTAGGAGGTAAAACGATTAACGATTCCAACGACAGAATCCGGTTGTTGTTCGCGAAGAAATTTAGTGACGCGTGAATCGGTTTACAGCGACGCCAACTGCCTGAGCGACGAACGATGCGACGGAGGAATTTGCAAGGCGATCTGCAACAGCGACGACCACTGCGTGGCGAATCAGATTTGTCAGAACCGATTGTGCGACATCGGATGTCGCAGCGATAACAGCTGTCCCAACGATGAGTCTTGCGTAAACAACAAATGTAGAAGTGAGTTGGTACACTTTGGTAGTTTAGAGGTTGTTCAGAATTGATTCTGAGAGTGAGCAATCTTTAATTATTTTATTCATTTACAGATCCATGCGAGAACGGAGAGGCTTGCGGAGAATGCGCAGGCTGCCGCGTGGTCAACCACGTGGCACAATGCAGCTGCCCAGCTAACTACTATGGCAACGCGTTGGTTAGCTGCGTGAAGTCCATGGTCCCTTGCGACGGATCCTGCGAATGTGACGAGATAGGCTTCTGCACGACAAGCTGCGCCAGCCAAGATCAGTGTTCCTGTGGAGAGAGTTGCCACTCTGGAAAATGCCGCATTAAATGTGACATCAATAATTCTTGTCCAAAGGTATCGTTTATAATTTCCTAAAGAAACCAAAGTTGAAGACAATCGTTTACAATCTCCTTATCATTTTAGGGCTACGTATGTGATGGAGGCTTATGTCTAATCGGCTGCCATACTCATTCCGACTGCCCATCCTCGTTATCCTGCATCAGTGGCCAATGCGAAGATCCATGCTCCGCCAATGGCTCACCCTGTGGAATCAACGCGCTGTGCCGCGTGTCCAATCACCGGGCAGTGTGTCTCTGTCCAGAGGGTTACCAAGGGGAGCCGAGTCAGGAGTGCTACCAACTGGAGTGTCACCGGGACGACGACTGCGAGGCGAACAAACGTTGCAGCGAAGATGGAGTCTGCACGAATCCTTGCCTGCAGCACGGAGTTTGCGGGTTCAACGCGCAATGCAGAGTGGTCAATAGGAAAGCGCAATGCTCTTGTCCACCTGGACATTACGGGAATCCCAAGATCAACTGCAAGAAAGGTACTTAGCACATGTCTACACATATCTAATTTATGGAGAATATAATACTCAAACAAGAGGTTTGATTATTGAAAATCATCTAACACGTTAAATGACATGAGGGTTACCGGTGACCTCTAACCAAATTGAATTACTATAATTCACCTAATTACACGACGATTATTTGAAAACGTTTGTATATTATAAACAATGCTGATTTAATATTATATTTCTCCTATTTTGCGCATTTTGCTCTATAAAATCGTGCGGCAGTTAACTTGTAAAATACTCTTATATCATGTATGTCATTCAAAATTCATTACAGGCGGAGATCAATGCTTGAGAAGACCATGCGGCGTGAACGCGAAGTGCAGGGAGACTCTGAATGGTTTTGAGTGTACCTGCGACCCTGGCTGCCAAGGTGATCCGCATCAGGCTTGCATCTGCGACGGAGGCGAACTCTGCAAGGACACCCGTTGCGGACAGAACGCAGCCTGCCGCATTTACAAGAACCAGCCCCAGTGTTATTGTCCACCCAACTTCCCGTTCGGCGATCCTATGCATAGCTGTAAGTCGCTTATACGAATGGCCTCATTGGAATCCTGTTCTTCGCATGTTCACGCGCCTCTTATCTGTGATTGCAGGTAGTATAGATAAGAGTTTAGGTGACTGTCGCACGAACGGTTGCGGAAAAGGCGCGGAATGCATTAGAGACGGCACGATATTCGTCTGCCGGTGTCCACCGGGTACGAGCGGCTCGCCGGACAACGAGTGCAGCACAGGTAAGGAACGGCCTACTAACTGTTTAACCGGGCAGATCGAATTAATTCCATGTACAGCATTTGTGACTAGCGAGCAATACTGATGATCAGAGGAACATGGTCCGTAGAATAACCATGTATCGTCTATAGTAGGACTTGAAGTAATACATAGATGTATTAATCCAGTGAATCGTTAACAATCGAGAGACAGA